GTCTGTGTTTGCAGATGAATATACTGTAGAAACACCAACAAAACCAAACAGCATCTGCTTGATCACCTGCTTCATATAAACACAAAATCATATTTCTCCCCCCACCCCCACCCCTCAATAACTATTGTTTTTGAATGAAGAACATTTAGTTCTTTCGTTCTACCTGTATTTCTGTTCATAAATAAAATATTATATATATGTGACCCTGGAGCACAAAACCAGTCATATGGGTCAATTTTTCAAAATTGAGATTAATGCATAATCTGAAAGCTGAATAAATCAGCTTTCCATTGATGTATGGTTTGTTAGGATAGGACAATATTTGGCTGAGATGCAACTATTTGAAAATCTGGAATCTGAGGGTGCAAAAAAATCTAAATATTGAGAAAATCATCTTTAAAGTTGTCCAAATGAAGTTCTTAGCAATGCATATTACTAATCAAAAATTAAGTTTTGATATATTTACGGTAGGACATTTACAAAATATCTTCATGGAACATGATCTTTACTTAATATCCTAATGATTTTTGGCATAAAAGAAAAATGTATAATTTTGACTCATACAATGTATTGTTGGCTATTGCTACAAATATACCCCAGCGACTTAACACTGCTTTTGTGCTGCAGGCTCACATATGAAGAAAGTCACAGCTAGTAAATAAATCGAGCAAACGCAGCTGTGATGAGGCTGATATGAGATCTGTGGATGCTAACAGTGGTGTTTCTGTGTTTCACTGCAGACTCACTGAACGGATTCAGAATGGATGAGATGATGAGATATTCTCTTTTATCTTGCTCAAACACAAGCTTTATTTTCTATCAAACACTGAACAAGCACAGCGTAGTCATCAAACTGTCATCGTATTTCATTCACACTCTCTGAAAGGTTGCAATTATTTCTCGGCCCTCCTGTTATTATTTTCAACAAAAAAAATCCCTCAGACTTACACTGAGACTGGACCCAAAAACCAGTCTAGACCAGTGCATTCAAAACCAGGGGCCCACTAGAGCGCTTTAGCACACTTATAAGGGGGATGCAAGATTGTGTAAAAATATTACTATTAATATAATTAAAATTAATATTCTAATCAATTTCCCTAACCCTAAATATATTTAACGTAAAAGCAAAAATATTAATAATTATTATTACTATTGTTAATAATTTATGAACTAAATGTAACTCATAATAAAATAGTATTATTAATATAATCCATATTATTATTCCTATTAATATATTAAATGAATGAATGTTACAGGAAGTTAAATCAAGATGCAAACATCAAGATGTCAGTGTTGGGGAAAGTTACGTATTGTTATATTTCGTAACTCCATAAAAAAGTAACTAATTGCGTTACTTAGGTACTTTTTATGTGCCTCTAATTCCTCTCAACATGAGAGCTGTCAGTCAATCAATGGGAAAACCAAGGAACTGGTGTTACTTATTCAAAAAAGTAACTCTTGATATTTTGTCAATTTAAAAGTAACGTGTTACTTTACTAGTTACTTGGAAAAAGTAATCTGATTACATAACTCTCGTTACTTGTAATGCGTTACCCTTGATGACTATTGTTTTTGATGAAGAACATACAGTTCACTACATTTCTGGATTCATGAAATGAACTGTGGTAAATTAATTGAGCTATCCCTACATTTACACTCCCCGTCTCCCTGCTGAAATAAATGAAAGCACTCACTTTAAGTAGATCTTGTCCTGCTGCTGAATTCCTCTCCTGCATGTGTAATTATTCTCACTCTAATGACGTCAGACTCATTACAGCTCTGAACAGAAACAAAACTTCACCTAAAGCAGAGAAAGAGCTGCATAAATCACACAGCAGAGACGGAGAGCGTTATTGATCAAACACGGGAGAACATACAGATCCACAGCCAGCAGAATAAAGGTGATATCTCTCAGCTGAAGAGCTCAGGAGCTCACACGTGCTAAATAAAGCCTTTCAACTTTCATGCATTTAAAGCAGACCTTCAGAAATATGATGCAGTCAGGCTTTACGAGTTAAAACGCACACAAGCAGAAGAGCTGAAGCTGAAGATCATATTTGAAGCATCTTTTGAAATGTTGATCTTATCAAACTGGTTTTGACATCTGATAGAACAGGATTTCATGTTTTAGACCAGATGTGCTCAAGCGCTTCACTAAGAAGGGCCAAAAAACTATTTAAGGGCGAATGTACAATGTGCATTATTTAAATCAACTTCACTTATATTATCTACATTTCAATGCAAAAATTAAATGTTAAAAATTGAAAAAAAAAAAAAAAGCATTATATACAACTGGATTAAAATGAGCATTTTTAATTGTATATACTGCATGTAAATATGCATGTTTTTTCTTATTTCCCCCTTATGCTGTGTGGCATGATGGGCCAAATCAAAGGTTTGGACATCTCTGTTTTAGACCAACTAACACCACAAAACATCCCAGAATCCATCAAATCCACTGATAATACTTACTGATGTTCTGGTGTTTTCCCTCCAAAATGACATCACTTCCTGTCACTGAGGAAGTGATTTTTACAAAAGCCGGACATGGAAAGGATTTAAAAGCAAACATTTTGGGAAAATCACCTGGAATATTTCAGTCAGTGTTTCACTGCAGCACCTGCAAACATGACACGTCTCAGAGAAACGGTCGAAAACCCACCTCAGTGCGATTAAAGAGAGCTAACATGATTCATCTTTATAAACTGCGAGTTTAATATCTCGTCCAGTGTATTCAGACGTATGTGACGATGACATATATCAAGTTTCTCTTGTTCTTGCTCTCGTCGCTGGTCGTCTAGTGTGAATAATGACTGCTGTTCTTCACTACAGGAGAATGAGTGTTAGTGTTTCAGCACAGACCGTCATATCTGTAGAGCACTGGTTAACCACACAGAGTCAGAAACAGGACTGGTTAAAGCTGTTTGAGACGGTGCTCGCTGCTGCTGTTTTCAGTTGCATTCATCATGTTTATTAATTAGCAGAATCTGATGGTTTTGTTAAAGGCAAATGGAGATGAACTGACGAGGGAAGCGTTAGAAGAGTTTACCGTTATATTTCAACACTGTGACAAAGACAAACTCCAACATGAGCGTCCGTTCATTAAACTCCACCGATCACACTGCGTTCCATTCAACTCAGAAAGATGCCACTTTCATTCAAGCCTGCGCAAACTCTGGGTTTATGACATCATTCAAGCATATTTCATAACTATGAACAGTACTAGCGATTGGTAGTTTTACCTGCTAGCTAGTGCATGTTCACCTGACCAGATTGAGAACATACACACTCTCTGGTACCAAATTAGTCATTAAAAGCCAACTCTACAAACTTTAACCAGAATCCTAGAGGTCCCTCATTACATTCAAACTCTATATTCTTACCTACAGCAGATTTCAAAAGGAATATTCATCTATCTTTCAAACGGTGAAATGTGGTGATGCCAAAATTCATTATAGAAGCACATTTCCACCATGGGATAAAATAAAGCAATAAGCCCCGTGAAGCCATGGTTTACAGCGAGTTTATAACAGCGTTGTTAGGTACGACGTGAAGCGGCATTATAATATAAACCCCCTTAGCTGTTATAAATTCACTGTAAACCACGGCTTCACAGGGCTTATTGCTTTTATAAAACGGTTATTCCATATACGTAGTAAGGTTTCACAGAATAAAACAGAGCAAATAAAGTGTAATGATATTAATAAAAACAGTATTCTTCCACCAAACAATGTAGCTCCTCAGAAACAGTTGTGGTTGCAACAAAGTGGTTGCCGGGCAACAGACAAACGTAAACAAAGGTGTATGTTACTTTGTAGAGTCATTTACAACAGCTTCGAACACAGCTCAGCCAATCAGAATCAAGCACCGGAACTCTCTGCTTTATAATAATAAATCAACTTTTTATCTCAAAATTATGACTTTTTCCCCCTCACAATTCTGAGTTTATGTCTTGCGATTCTTGAATGTATTTCCCACAATTCAGAGATAGAAGTCAGAATTGCGAGATGTAAACTCTGAATTCAGAGAAAAGTCATAACTGAGACACAAAGTCATAATTGTGACATGTAAACTGAGAATTGCTAGATATAACCTCAGAACTGTGAGAAAAAACTCTTCATTACACTTTAAACATTATCTTTGGTCTCTCAGGCAATGGAACAGCTTTATGGACGGAGATATTAAGCAAGAACATCTGATTTTGGATGGAACGCAGCATTAGTTCTTCTCTTGAGCTAAATGAGATCTGCTTTAAAGACACACTGTTAATTCATCTAATTAATCGACCCCAAAACTCGTCTGAGAAACTACACTGCGACGTCTCATGATATTTGAAATATACTGTAATGGACATTACATTTCAGACAGTACTGAACCACTGTGCTAGCTAACGTCAGGATTCGACTCATTCGAGTTCAAATCAAACAAATAAAAATAAGTATAAACCGACAGCATACAAGTGTAAGTTAACATCTCTGAGGCAAAATGCAAACATAAACATTTCCCACACAAGCAGGGAACATTTCAAATGAGATATTGCTATCAAGTCAATTTCTAAAAATAATTGATAATTTAGTGGTTAAAAAAAGTGCAAGTAGATGACAGTATAAAACATGCGGCTCAGACAGCCAGACTTCACCGATAAACGAAAACAGCCACAAATAATCTACTACTGGAAGTTTTTTAATCTAGTGGAGCATAGCTGTGCTATCATGCTGAAAGTCTCTTGCTTCCCATCGGGTTTTTGCTTGTGATTCCTTGAGGAAACAGTATTAAGACTGAGAAGCTTTGGATCTAACACACTGACGATGCTTCAGTCAACGTCTCGATTGCTTTCAGTGCATGTCATTCTTAGTTTCATAACAGACTATCAGCGAATTAAACTTCAACACTGTCCATTTCCACATCTTCTAAAGTGGTATCCGATTGGGAAACCATTATGAGTGATTCGACTCATTCGAGTTCAAATCAAACAAATAAAAATAAGTATAAACCGACAGCATACAAGTGTAAGTTAACATCTCTGAGGCAAAATGCAAACATAAACATTTCCCACACAAGCAGGGAACATTTCAAATGAGATATTGCTATCAAGTCAATTTCTAAAAATAATTGATAATTTAGTGGTTAAAAAAAGTGCAAGTAGATGACAGTATAAAACATGCGGCTCAGACAGCCAGACTTCACCGATAAACGAAAACAGCCACAAATAATCTACTACTGGAAGTTTTTTAATCTAGTGGAGCATAGCTGTGCTATCATGCTGAAAGTCTCTTGCTTCCCATCGGGTTTTTGCTTGTGATTCCTTGAGGAAACAGTATTAAGACTGAGAAGCTTTGGATCTAACACACTGACGATGCTTCAGTCAACGTCTCGATTGCTTTCAGTGCATGTCATTCTTAGTTTCATAACAGACTATCAGCGAATTAAACTTCAACACTGTCCATTTCCACATCTTCTAAAGTGGTATCCGACTGGGAAACCATTATGAGTTTTTGTTTCTTTGAATACTGTCTGACTGTGGTACACGCCTGCCGATGTGTCTCATCATGAAGCTCCCGGTCCTTTTCCAAAACCTCAACAGAGCTCTCTCGACTGAACGTGGCATTGTCTGTGGACTCAAAGGATTCACCGCTAAGGCCTTCAAGTTTGGTGTAGCCTCCGCTGCCGAGGCCTTCCAGCCGAGGACAGCTGAGACGTCTCGATCGCACCAAAGTAGGGGTGGTTGGACAGATATCCGTATCGACAGACCTGGAGTAGTCAGACAAAGCGCTCAAGGACAGGTGAGATCCGGTGGCCTTGCGACTCGGAGAACCAGACGGCAGCAGCTGAACCCGGGAACCCTGCAGAGAGACACGAGGAGCTCCTTGCAAACTCCCACTGCTCCTGTAAACCTCCACCGAATCTGGCGCAAGCTTGGGATGAGGCTCCACTTTGGCCTTCGTGATGGTCCTGGACGCTACCAGATTCTCCAAACGTCTGCAAATGGCTTCGGCATCCAGGACCTCTCGTTTGACCTCTCCGGTTTTATCCGAACCCCTTCTCTCCGAAGCTCCTCGGTGGTTGAGCTTCATCATTGGAAGGGTGAAAGCGTTGACCGAAGTGGACACGATGCTCCTGGTTTCCCATTCTTTGTCAATTCGGTTCTGGTCTCGATAGATGCTGTAGACGGTGTCCGTAAAGCTCTGTCTTTCCAAAGACGAGACTCGTGGGATGGTGGTAGACGGTCGTCGGGATGGGATCAAGCTACCTGCGTCGTGTCGCTCAGAGCCTGGAGACGGCCAGGAGCCCTTATGAGGGGAACCGTACGATTTGGTGTCTTTCGATTGGCAGTAGTTCACGAAACCGTTGAGCGGTGCCGACTCCTTGCTCCGCAGGCTATGAATGTCAATCACCGTTGAGTAGATGTCTCTGAGGTTAATGATTTTTGTCTTTTTGTCTCTGTTTTCGTGAAGTACTGCATTGCCACAAATGAATAGGAAGATCCCGATGCCCATGATTAAAGGTCCGAACACTTTCAGCTTGTCCGAATATAAGTATCTGTTGATAAATGCAGCGAATGCTCCCAGTTTAGGCCCATTGGAGCCATTATAGCTCCTGAAGTCTTTATCTAGGAGATCCCAAGGCGGTCTGCCGGTCACATTGACTAATTCTCGGCTGTCGTAAGTCCTCTGTGTGTTCATCAGTCCTGGATAAAGCGGACTCTCTTTGGGCCAGTAGCCCAACACAGCCATGGCCACTCCAACCAGAAGCACCAGGATCCCAATGGCAGCGACCAGTCCAGATACGGAGCACAACTTTAGCTTTCCTTTCACCACGACCACTTCGTTCTTCCTCTTTTTCTTCTCTTTCTTCTTGCGCTTGTTTTCGGCTCGGTTCTTTGCGCGGAGGGAGTCCTGTCTCCTGGCAGATATCCGCAGCAGACCCCCTGTGGCGATCATGATGGCGCTCAATTAATCATCCTGGAGAAGATAGAAAGAACATGAGAACCATAGTGTGGGCTGAAAAAGCCATGAGATCTAGAAACATACTCACAAAATCTAACATAGATTTAGCATATCAACCCTCTACATTGCGAGTAAATCACTCGCATATGCAACTAAATCTTACTCTGGGCGACTAAATAATATCTAACATTAGCCATTGGCTAATAAATTCTTAGATTTTACACGCCAGTATGTGTGTGTGTACCTACTTAACCATATTTTGGGGACAAATTTGTACCCAAAAGTGAGCAAAGCCTGACAAAATCGACAAAAACCTCATTTTGTGGATGTCCTCATTTGTAAAACTGTTATAAAAATAAAGTAAACAAAGTTTTTTTTTACTTTTGAAATGGTAAAAATGCAGAAAGTTTTCTGTGAGGGGTAGGGTTAGGGGTAGGGGTGGGTTTAGGTTAAAAAGTGTATAACTATCTGTATATAAAAACAATCGAAGTCTATGTAACCATTTAGATAGCTAAGTAAACGTGTGTGTGTGTGTAAAATAGTATATCAGTCTGGCGAGTAAACAAAAAAATGTACTAGCCAATGGCGATTATATTGCTAAGGTGTGCGTAGAGGGTTGCATATACAAGCAACAGTCATAAATAACAAAAACTTAAACACTTACAGCACAGGCATATACGTGTATGTGTGTGTTCATTCAGTTTTACTGTTTACATTATTTTTAAAATGTTTTTTTTCTGACTAATATTTTTGTGGAAATCACAATACACTACCATTCATAAATTTGGGGACATTTAAAAAAATAAATAAATAAAAGATTGATCAAAAGTGACAGTGAAGACATTTATAATGTCACAAAAGATTTTCTATTTCAAATAAATGCTGTTCTTTTGAACTTTGTTCATCTGTGAATCCTGAAAACTAAAATGCATCAGTTTCCACAAAAATATTGTGCAGCACAACTGTTTTCAACATTGATAATAATCAGAAATGTTTCTGGAGCAGCAAATCAGCATATTAGAATGATTTCTGAAGATCATGTGACACTGAAGACTGGAGTAATGATGCTGAAAATACAGCTGCGCATCACAGGAATAAATTACATTTTAACATGTATTCACATAGAAAACTGATATTTTAAATTTTTTACATTACCATTTTTCCTGCATTTTTGATCCAAGAAATGCATCCTTGGTGAACAAAAGTGACTTCTGACCTATTAGCAGAATCATCCCACTGCTTATGTGAATATATATATATACACATACACATATATGAATATATATGTGCCATCCTACCAGTATTACCCATTTCCAAAGAACGTCTCTCTCTCTCTCTCTCTCACACACACACCAGCATTTGCTGTGCTCCTATTGGTTCTTCATTAGACGGATGTTCCAGAAGCTCACTTATCTTGATGAAAGCTCTCTAGTATCTGGAAGGCTGAGAATGAGAGAATGAACCCAGGCAAAGCGGCGCTCGTTCTCAGGCGTTCACTGGACTCTGAGTGGGAGCGAGACGCTTGTTTCTGTGAACAGCATATGGATGGTGTGGGTTAATGCAGCACAAACACACAGCAGTGATCAGCGACACATGAATGCAGTGTGAGACACAGACTGATGACATGATTCACGCCAGACTCCAAACAGAAAGATGAAAAGCATCTGTTTGCTGATTTGACATAAAAGCTGATTCTACCACAAACTGTAGGAGCGTGAATGAGTGAATTTAAGGTTAGCAGGTAAAACAAATCTTGTTTGCTTAGTAGATATAGGATTACTAGGGTCGAGACAGTGGAAAAAATGCAAGGTTATCAGATGTGAGCTGCACTTCTTTTAACTTGATCGCTGCATTTTTAGAATGCCACTTCATGCGCAAGATGCTGCAAAAGATGCATCCATCAAATGCATATTTACATAGAAAAGCATTGGAAAAGCAGAAAGCTGTGCAGAACTACTACTGTACGTCTGATATTTGCATGATGCTGACAGACTGAAAGCTGCTGCTGTTTTCATGTACTGTTAATAAAAACTAATTTTGGCTAAGAAACATTTTTCTTATTTTGCTTTTTTTCTGTATATTTAGGATATGTTTAAAGACAAGTTTGTACAGTATTTGCCTTCATACTTCATGCACTTCTATGTCAAACTTTAGGTCTGCTGCACTTTAATAGAACTTACTTTAACCAATGTTACTTGAATCATGCAGTAGTTAAGTTTTAAGATGAATAATTAAACACTAAAATCATTCTCTTCGATTAAACGTTTTATTTTTGGCCATATCGCCCAGCCCTAAGGATTACTGCTGAAAATCTATAGAGAGGCCTTTTTAAGTCCATGAACATCACTGTCTATCAGAAAGGACTGATTCACTTACTGATGTCAGCAGGTGAACATCTTCGTGCTTCCTGTTCAGTTCAATTCAATCAAATAACAATGAATTAAAGCTTTAAAATCACAGGAGATCAAATAAATGAAGCTGTGCTTCTCTTAGTGGGATCTGACCAGGTTTGATGAACCATGCCATCTTTGAATATGCATGAATGAGATTTGAGAGCTGTGGTGCTAGGGAAGTTGCATTAAATAAGAAATGAATAAACTCCCAAAGATTCAGATGCATTACAGTCTTACTCAAGGGTCTGAACCACTAAACCACATCACCCAAACAGAGCCTTATTAGAGTTTGTAGAAACTATTCAGTTCAGTGGAACACAGAGATATAGGATCCACTGGATGTTTATTTCATGCTGTGAACGGAAACAGACAGACTCTATTTTGCCGTGGCCTTTGTGAACCCGTCTGCTTTTCTGCAGTGGAGTCTAATAATTTATGGCACCAATTAAATGTTGTCTTTCCAGAGGGAAAATACATATTTGAGTTTCCAGCACCAGGGTTCATTAGTTGTGAATCATCAGGGGAGAAAAGAAGACAAAAGTGCAATAGTTTCTCGCTGGATCTCGAGTGTCCATTTCTCTTGATGTGTAACCTGCCGCTGTGTTCATGAAGTGCTTGTTTGGAGTCTCTCGACACATTAGATGGACATTGATTTAACATGAATCAGCAGATACGACTTCTTATGGCCAGTGATAATGACTCTGCAGGGCTTCATAAACCTGCTGACAATAAATAAACATGACGCATGTAGCGTGTAATCGTGTTCTCGTCAGTCATGAATCTTTCAGCAGTTAACCGAATGGCAACAATCAACTGACTTTCACACAGCTACGATTCCAGAAAACGTGTGATTTAACTCTGAATGTACAGACAGCAGTTCTCTTGAACGTCGGGTGAATGATGGAGCAGTTTTATTGTCCAACACAGTCAGAAAAAAATGAGAGAAAACATTGCTTATTCAGCTGATAAGTGTGTCCGTTATGAGCGTTTATGGACCTGCCCTAAATTTACTTTCTAGTGCACTACAGAGGATCACTCAAACTTTATTACACGCTCTGTTTAAATAACTGCTTGTAATCCTGTGAAAATGCACTGCTTGTCTAAAAGGAATAGCTCAGCCAACATGAAAACGTCCTGTAAAGTTGTTCACCCTCGGGCCATCGTAGAAGTAGATGAGTTTGTTTCTTCTGCAGTGAATGGGTGCCGTCAGAATGAGAGTCCAAACAGCTGATAAAAACATCCCACTAATCCACACCACTCCAGCCCGTCAGTTAACATCTGGAGAAGACAAAAGCTGAAACTAATCCAGCATTAAGATGCTTTTAATGTCTAAAATACAAGTCCATAATCCATAATAACAATGAAAAAGTGTTCTGGTGTGAATCAGGAGAGAAATCTGCACAGATCAAGCAGCATTTAAACCGCTCTAAACTAATATGTGGCTGGATTTTGATGTGAGAGACGACAGGAGATGCACTTTTTCACTGGAGGAAGCATTATTATGGATTATGAACTCATATTTTAGTTAAAAACGTCTTAATGCTGGATTTGTTTCAGCTTTTGTCTTCTCCAGATGTTAACTGATGGACTGGAGTGGTGTGGATTATTGTGATGTTTTTATCAGCTGTTTGGACTCTCATTCTGACGGCACCCATTCACTGCAGAGCATCCATTGCTGAGACACTGATGCAGTGCTACATTTCTACAAACCTGATGAAGAAACAAACTCATCCTGATCTCGGATGACCTGAGGGTGAGCACATTTTCATTTTTGGCTGAACTATTCCTGCAGTTTAAACCTGCAAGTGGTGCAAAACCTCTTACAGATGTGTACTTGCAAATTGGTTTAAAAAGCAGTTAACTAGTGTAAATGCCTTCCATGCAGCTGCTCTTCTAAATGACTGAGATCAGTTATCATGGTTGCTTGAACTTCATCACTAATGTCACGTCTCATACTGCTTCACTACCAACAAAGTCTCTTTCTTTCCTAACAACACAATCCACAGATGCTGCAGACTGGTGTTACAAAACACACTGCTTTTAAGAAACCTATTTCTGTGTTGGCTCTGCTTCTATATTTCCAACCGCAAAGATTTACAGATTTGACGAATTTCTGTGAGTGTTTGGCTCCACGTTTAATGAAATAAAGCTGAAAACGCTCCATCAGTCCAGACAAGCGGATGATCGGGAGTTCAAAGGTGTGCGCGGATCCTTCCACATCAAAGCAAACAGCAGAGAATCGGAGCGTACAGAGAGATGAGCGGCAGGATCCACAGAGACTTCAGAGACACACACGTGACATCTCAAACACGGCCGAGAAGGATTTATGGATCACAATGACCTTTATGTTCATTTCTGAAGGGCTGGATGGAGAGCAGCGGGTGACAATAAACACGTCATGAGGACAAAACACCAAATGACACAGACTGCCAGAGTGAGTTTGGTTGTGAAATTAGCTGCACTAAAAAAAAATCTGATTTCCCTGCATCTTCATCATCAGTGCAGAGAAACGTAAAAGTAATGGAGCAAAAAATGACGGCCATTACATCGGATTCCACTCGCAAACGCAGGGCGCTCGAGTCAACAGATAATATTCCTCATACAAATAAACACATTTCACCAAGCATATGCTGCTGACATTCATTCGTGGGCGGAAAATGAATGATACGCTGTTCGCACGGGCAAAACATCCATCTGAAGGATGTGCTGCTGGCAAACCTGCCTTCCACTGATCTGAATCCAGCTTCTTCTCTAGATTTGGTTTTTCCAGTGTCTGAAATGCTGGAGGGAGCGCAGTTTACACCCTCGCTATACTCCCAGATAGCACACATACGTCTGCGAGAGGTCTGTTAAAGATCGCTTCATCTGGAAAGCATCTGCTGTGTACAAACATCTGACAGACGTCTTTAAGAGGTCCGTTTTACATACCTTCTAAATCATCTTAAAGACATCTTCTAAACGTCTATTTGACATCTGATAGGAAACGTCCTGTAGATGTATCGCAGATGAGCAAACAGATAGGGATGCATGATATTATCGGAACGTTATCGGAATTGGCCGATAAAGGACACATTTCATTACACCAAATACACAAAATAATGTTATTTTTAGCAGCATCATATGACCCCTTTAAAATGAAAACATCTTATAACATGCCGATGAGAAGAGGGGTACTTGCTATAAACAACACATCCATTATTGAACTCGCTATCCTACTATGGACAGATTTAATTGAAATGAGTGAAAACAAAGCAGATGTACAGCCAGTTCAACAGGTTGGGTTCTTCTACTTTCCAGGCTAACAAATAATAAATAAAAAAAAGAATTCCTGCATTAATTATCGCACTGTCTTTAAACAAGATCTTATAGCGCATTATAAACGCAGTGATGTAACAAACTCTGCAGAAAACGGTATGTCCTCATTCAGGTGTTTGACTCATTCTCTATCTGGAAGATCTTCAAGGTTTCGTAATAATCTACTGAATTGGTTCACTGGGATACATTTACAGCTTTCATATTTCAGAGAGATGCTTGGGTTCTTAGCATCATGATCCTAGAAGATCTCTAAAAGCCAGGTTTTAACACAACCTAACATAACAAGCATTGCTCATACATGACCTCTTAAACCTGAAACATGGGCAGGTTCACCAAAGCTCACCTCAGTGTTATTACAGATGCACATTCTCCAGCCCTGCAGATCAATAACAGTCGATAATGAATAACCCAGCTACTCCTCCAAGGCTTCAAACAGGTCGGCGTTATTCGATAATGAGGAGATTTAGTCACTTTGTCTCAATTTAAAAGCCTAATGTTCGCATTTGACAGTTTTATGTGATGTTGCCACGAATTCAGACGTTTCTAATCTCAATACAGACACGAGGACCATAAAAAGGGCGAATTTAAATAGAGTTTTAAAATAAAATGTGTAGTGACTGTTAATAAAAATGGTGATTGTGAAAGATGGAGAACAGTGAATCCCTCTGTTAAAGGAAGGAATTAAACAAATCAACGAATAAAGGTCTGCTTCTTAATATGAAAATAAAACTGAACAGAAACCGGAAAATCGGCGAGGTTTATGCGTGGAAAATAACGTACGTAACAGCTCGTGACATTCGGACCCTTAGAAACACACAAAACCACCAGAGACACAGTCACGCATT